GATGTTAATGTACCGAATTATTCCCTTATCCTATAAATAAAACTCCTAACCTAATTTTGTTAATTTTTTTACAGATAGCTTCAATCGGTGCTTCAATCAGTGCTGCCTGCTACACGATCGATCGGTGCTGCCTGCTACACGATCGATCGGTGCTGCTCTCCCCTGCTTCGATCAATGCTGCTTCGATCAGTGCTGCTCTCCACTGCTACACGATCGATCGGTGCTCCTCTCCACTGCTACACGACGGATTTGGTGCTGCTCTCCACTGCTACACGATCGGTACTGTTCTCCAGTGCTACACTCCAAGGCTTCGAGTTTTCGCTACTTGTACACCATTGTTGTTGCTGGACTGAGGGTTTGGAGGGCTGGTCTGGACTGTAGAGGTTAGTCTCTTCTTCTTCTCTCTTCAATTTTTTTTTCTTCTGTCTTCTGCTCCTTCACCGATTCTGGTTTTTTTTTTTTTTTCTTGATTTGATTCTACCCCATCCTGCTCTGATTCTACCCTATTTTGCTCCGATTGTGCTTCTTTTTTTTTTTTCATTATGCGTCTGTTTTTTTTTTTTTTTTTTTTGCTTTTTCCTTATGTTGCTGTCCAAACTCCATTCTAAGGAGTTGCTGGAATGCTATTATTCGTAGTTGTACGTATGTTACATACCGATATGTACCTAGTTTTGTTATTGTTGCTAGATAAACAAGACTTATTGTAATGCAGCTATTTGGTTGGTAACACCTCTCTTCAATGGATAGCTCTGTGGCACTGGAATTTTTTTTTAAATCAGAAGTTATTTTCATAGGTCAAATTATAACTTTTAAAAGTGAAGTTGCAACTGAATGGAGTTAATCACGATCGATCATGAAATGTTGTGATCGGTCATTAATACTTCTAAAAGACGTAACTTTTGTGATTGATCATAATATTTTGACATCGATTATGTCTTTTACAGTCGTAATTTACACCCAAAAAATTATAACTTAATCATAAAAAGTTGTAATATTCGGTCGTAGTCTTCCTGTCTCTTCAATAATGAGATAGTCACCATGCATTGCTTGAAATATTATTCACACAGATATATGTGAACTTCCAGCACTACAACATGCTAATTGATGTCTTTGTATAACCAATCTTTGCTCTCATTTATGGCAAGATTTTAAAGGCCTCTTGTGACTTAACAAACAAATCATGCATCTTATTGGTAATAATATGGTCGGAGACTGCATAAGAATTATACAAACAAATGAAAATGCAAGACTTAATGCATTCAGTACAAGTTAAATTGTTTACATGTTAAATATGAAATTGTTTACAACGTAATGCTTCTGGTTTTTTTTTTTTGTGTTGTTGTCCTGATTCTGCTTCTGTCCAGTCAATATGAAATTGCTCCTGTGCTGCTTCAATTTTTTTTTCCTCAGTCGTCTGTTTTTTTTTTGTTGTTGCATTCTACTACTGTCCTGATTCTGCTTCTTTTGTTGTCCTGTCCTGTCAATATAAAATTGTTTACAACTGATATAAAATGTGATTCAGTACATGTGAATGTGTTTTGTTCCTTTGATTGTAGTGTGATAGTGTTATTCATAAATGGCATCGTCGTCCGAAGGGAACAAAAAAGATCCGGCATGGAAATATGCACACTTGGTAAATCCTCAAAACACAAACAAGTTCAAATGCAATTTTTGTGGAAAGGAGTCAAATGGAGGTGTCTATCGGGTCAAGCAACACCTAGCAGGGAACTCTACGAGTGTTATTACTTGTCCAAAATGCCCTGCTCATGTTAGGGAGGAGATTAGAGAATACATGGCTAAAAAAAAGGAAGAGAAGAATCTAATGAACATGGTTTCCGACTTTGATGAGATGCCTAATGACTTGGAGGAGGATGAAGATGATATTGTAGAGATTGTTGCGAATCATAAAAGATCCATGACTAGTTCTAGTCAAGGTTCTACACAAGCCACATCGAGACCAAAAAAACCAAGACAAAAAGGGCCTATGGATGTATACTTCACCCCTGATCCGAATGTTGTGGTGCAAAATCGAAAGACCAAGGGGAGACAAACGAATATTGATGCCAGCGATCCTTTTAGAAAGGAAATGAGAGAAAGAGCCATCACAACATTTGCCCGATGGATGTATGACACGGGAATTCCCTTTAATGTTGTGAACTATGAAAGTTTTGCAGCAATGGTTGAAACTTTTGGACAATATGGTCCTGGTTTGAAACCCCCTTCTTACCATGAGGTTCGGGTCCCATTGCTCAACAAAGAAGTAGGGCATATAAAGTCATTGATGAAAGATCACCAAGAGGATTGGGCAAAATATGGATGTTCCATAATGGCCGATGGATGGACTGACAAGAGAGGGAGAACCTTGATTAATTTCTTAGTGAATTGTCCAAAAGGGACCATGTTCTTTGAATCTGTTGATGCTTCTGCATACTCAAAGGATGGGCAAAAAATGTTTGAATTGCTTGATAATTTTGTAGAGCGTATTGGTGAAGCTAATGTGATTCAAATTGTCACTGATAATGCGGCAGCAAATGTGTTGGCAGGTATGAGCTTCTTGAAAAAAAAAAAAAGATAACTACTTGTTATATTGAATTTTTTTTATGCACACTAGTTGCTAAAAAAATCTTTATTTAATAGGTAAGTTTTTGGAGGCAAAACGACCAAATCTATATTGGACGCCATGTGCTGCCCACTGCTTGGACTTGGTATTGGAAGATATCTTCAAATTGCCAAACTTCAAGAGAACATTTGAAAGAGGAATAGCATTACACGGTTATATTTTATAACCGTCCAACTCTGTTGAATATGATGAGACGATTTACCCAGTCAAGGGAGTTGATTAAGCCTGCAAAAACTAGATTTGCTACGGCTTTTCTTACGCTAACAAGGATCAACCAACAAAAAGGTAACTTGAGAAAAATGTTCACTTCAGAGGAATGGACTACAAGCAAATGGGCAAAAGAACAACAAGGCAAAAGGACAGCACAAATCATTTTAATGCCTTCATTTTGGAGTAATGTTGTCTACTCTCTTAAGCTTACTGGCCCTCTTGTCCGTGTGCTTCGATTGGTTGATGGTGAGAAAAAGCCTCCCACGGGGTACATTTATGAAGCTATGGATCGGGCTAAAGAAGCGATTGCTAATTCTTTTAATGGCAATGAAGAGAAGTACAAACACATATTTGAAATCATTGACCGAAGGTGGGAAGTTCAATTGCATCGGCCTTTGCATGCAGCTGGGTATTTTTTGAACCCAGAGTTTTTCTATTCCAATCCAGAGGTTGAGAAAGATCAAGAAGTCATGAATGGCCTATATAAATGTTTGGAAAAGTTGGTCTCAAATCCTGCGATACAAGATAAAATTGGTCAAGAGTTGAGTATTTACATGAAAGGTGAAAACCTCTTTAAGTTGCCCATGGCGGTTAGACAAAGAACAACTAGGGCACCAGGTAATCTATGTTATCCCACAAGCTTATTTCATTATCATTGCTTAAATATGTTAGTTAATTAATTGTTATTCATTATTCACAGCTGATTGGTGGAGTGCATATGGGTCTGCAACTCCAAATTTGCAAACCTTTGCAAAAAAAGTTTTAAACCTTACTTGTAGTGCATCCGGTTGTGAGCGAAATTGGAGTGTGTTTGAGCATGTAAGTATCATCCTCAAACCTCTTCAATTACATTTTTTTTTAATCTTATTATAAATTTTAATGTATTGTTAATAAATTATTGCAGATACACACCAAAAAAAGAAATAGACTAGCTCAATCCCGTCTCAATGATTTGGTGTTTGTTAAGTATAATAGAGCTTTGAGGCACCGATATGATTCTCGTGACACAATTGATCCAATATCTTTGAAGGATATTGATGATAGCAATGAGTGGTTGATTGGGAGAATGGATGCAGACACAGATGAAGATAATGAGCTTGTGTTTGGTGATGATACTTTGACTTGGGGCGAAGTCGCTCGAGCTTCTGCAGTTACGGAAAGTAGCCAACGGACTAGATCAATACCATCTACTAGGGTAACACCAAGGTTTACAAGATCGACGACTGGACTCACAGATGAGGAAGACATAATTTCAGATGAGGCAGAGGAGGAGGATACTGAGGGATATGAATCTAAGGATAATGAAGAAGATGATTTCTTTAGTGATGAGGATTGATTTCTAAGTCCTTGAGATATTTTCTTTAGTTGCTTGAATTATGTGTCTTATGTTTTTAAATATTAGGATTTGGGATATTATTAGTATTTGTATGAATTTAAATGTTTAAACTATGACTGTTATTAAGATTTGCAATATTATTAGTGTTTATTTTAATTTAAATGTTTATGGTTTTTTACTTTAAATGTTTATGGTTTTACTTGTATTTAAATATTTAGTATATATAAAATTAAAACTTTGATGTGTATAAGTAATTACACTAAAATATTTATTTATTTTTTTAACTGCTCGCTTCGCTTTGGTAAATCGTTTCGCTTCGCTTCTCGCCTAGGCGTTAAGAGCCTTGGTCGCTTCGGTTCGCTTAACGCCTTAAATAACACTGCCTCTAATCAACTAATCCAGTTTAGACTGATCATATACGAGATGAAATCTTACAATTAGTGCATTGTATGGGGGCGTGTTCGTGTTGTATCTTATCCATCTCCCATGTCCATATCACGCTTCTTAATTGAACACAAAAACTGTAAATGTGCTTTCCTAGATATTGTAGAAGTTCTTGAGCTGTTCTGGAGAATCATTAGACACCATTATTGCTGTTTCAGAAGTTCCCTAATCTGTCTCTCCACAAATGATTACACCTATTCTTTCTTTCTTTCCTTATTTTTTTCCCATTTGTTGCACTCAATCGAAAAACATAACACCTCAGTAGGCCAATAGATTTAACAAAATCAACAAAATTTTTTATTTACTCCAAAACAACTTGGAGAATTACTTACATTTAAAATGCAGCACATGGTAGTTTATGTATAGAAATTAGTTCCTTTACTTTTGCAGTTACTTCTGATCATCTGCTGAACCTATAAACAACTTTTATGTCCATCTTGATCTATACAAGGATCTCATAATGTGACCTCAGAATTATTAAATGGAAGACGGAAATAGATGCCAGAACGTACCTGTAACAAAATAAGCTTTCTCATAATCTGATTTAAGAATCATTAACACATCATCTATACCCGAAACCAGAAGTTCATCATTCTGTTGAGGAGTCACTGTATTCAATCTGCAACAAATAAATTATGAATTAAGAAAATGAAGATAACAAGGGCTAGACGTGTTGAGAGTACGATGCTTTGTACAGTTCAAGATGTGATGGAAGCAACTTCCATCCAAGATGTTTGACTTCTTACAGTGGCAGAGTAGGAGCACATATCTTTGATTGCTTTTTTCAGTGACATTTTAGAATTAGAATGCAAAAACGTCAATTCAAAAACTGAGTCTTTCTGAGAAACACAATGGTGTCCTCACCAAAAACAAGATGTTAAGGATCTGTGTTAGATCATCTGTAAGGGGACGAGAGAGGAAACATGCTTGCCTTTCACAAAGTCATAAATGTGTCTCATAACCTCTAAACGGAACAACATTATTCATGCCAACTTTTTTACTAATAGTCAGAACACAACAAGGCCTTGGCACAACAATTGAAGGTCAGCTACGTGAATGATGTTCTGCCATTCTATTCTATCAATAGTCACATATGCTGTTAAACCACAATCTATATATCTTTCTTACTATTCCAGTCAATTTTTATCTTTGCCCCTAGTATCACCCGTTAATAGGCATCACAACATTTTTCCTCTTGTGTGCATTACCTCCCCTTTTGCAAGCAGCAGTCTAATGCTTATAAATTGCATAACAGACACTTGTCACACAAAAGATGTCATTCTTCTAGACTTTGTTGGAAGATAAGAATTATGAAAAAAAAAATGTATGAAGTTAGACAAAATTTCAGGCCAAGACTGTCAAAATTCACTGCAAAAGACTGAAAAAATTAAACATAAATAATTTGGAAGTTATTTGCAATCAAAATGAACAAATATTAAGAATTGGTCAAAGTTCAAAAAAAAGAGAGATGAAAAGCCAGGGAAAAAGCAATGCATTTGACGTAGGAAAGAAAACACAAGGATATAATATGCTACTATCTTGACCAATTAGGAACTTCATGAATTAGGGCATTAGAAAATTTTGATACAGGGTATAGTAAGCTTCACTTGCATGATCAAAAAATCAAAAGAAAATAATGGCATTATAGGAGAGATTAAAAAAGGTCATTGCTTCGTTCAACGATATATTCTAATGTTGGTAAGCAAAAAATTCAAGTTTGAGTCTAAAAGGCAACCCCTCACCTAAATAATCCTACAATTTTTCCGGACTTCCCGTTCTCCCCCAGCCCACGATTCACATTGGTTGGAAATTGACATTCTTTAACAAGAATAAGTGGGGACTTGGGTGTTATCAGGACACCCAACCCAAAATCAACTCGCAATGGCAGGAGAGGCTCCTCCACCATGTAGACAAACCTTGGGTGGCTCTAATCTATCAGTTTTGGTCACAAGCTCTATTCACATCTTCTCTCACATGCGACCTGCGTTCAGACGTGGGCTGAAAAATCAAACCAAGAAATATAGACAAGTATATTAGAAAATGCAAATGGGTCAGATCAAACACTTTGCCCATTTATTATCTTAAACCACTGATTATCTAAGGCCCAGCTCTGATACCATACTAGTGCATCCAACCCCAAACTAATTTAACAATAAAGATGCCTCTCAATCATACGAACCAATTTTGGGTTGCCCTAATCTTTTGATGCGGGAGACAAGCTCTCTTTGATGATACTTTCCTAATCATTCAATACTACATAAAATATTAAACCATAAAGGACACTTCAGATACTATCCACATGATTGAAAATAGATCGTTTTGGAAAAATCTTCATTAAGTAAAACTTTTGTTTGTCATCCTAAAGCACAAAAGATTAAGAGTGAATTAAAAATCACACCATTAAAGTATTGATGTGGTTTCTATTTGGTCCCTGGAGTTTTTGATTTACACAATTTAGTCCTTAAAGTATTGATTGCGTTTCAATGAGACTTTCATCCATATTCATCAAAAACACCAAATGGTTAGTCAAATTTAGGGGGGTTATTTTAGTCCAACTCTCCCATTGTCTTCACCTGCAACCAAAATCTAACTCATTTCCTTCACCTACAACCATTTCCCATACCAAAAATACAGAAAAATCAAGGGACCGTGAAAAATGCTTACACTCAATCAATGACAAATAAAAACACCAACAAATACACCTTAAAAAATGCTTACACGCAATCAATGATAAATAATACCGTTGTAATATAACTAAAATTAGTGGTGCTAAACAAAAGAGAATGGTATTACCTATCATAGACGCAGATGACAACAATACATAACATTATAACAAAATAATCCTAACCACTCATAAGCATCATTGTCAATGACTTTCAATTCCTTCATTTTTTATACCAAAGCACTTCAAATTAGTAGCCTTAGCACAATCCCAAAATGCCTTCTGTAAAACTTTTCATTTGAAAGACTCCTTATAATTGTTATAAAGATGTCCACCACATGTCATGTGCTTAAAATTGGGTAACAATGTATCAAGTGCCAATAAAAGACCCTGTAAATAAAACAAATAACAGTTCATAAATCTGGGAACAATAAAATATGATGCATGCTCATAAATCAGAGACCACCAACTACAGGTTCAAAATATGTGCTGATGCTCATGAACAAAAATCAGAATATGCCTCCCACTAAAATGAATTTTGCAAAGATAAGACCATATTTTGTCGATTAAATTAGTATTTTAATAAGGAAAAATTACCTCTTGACCTACACTTCGGGATTGCCATTGTGGCGTCTCTACCTTGACCACCCTCAAAGATCTGGTCTGTTTGCTTCCAATGACTATCTTCACTGTCCAGTTCATCTTCTTCCCTCACCAATATTTTTTTGTATTGAATGGGTTAGGGCTTTTTTTACTGGTCAAATATAAGTTAAGGGTAAGGGTCAATGATATAACTATGGTTAGAGCAGTAGGAGAAGGCAATGAGAGAGTTAGACGAAAATGCCCCTCTCAATTTGATTGACCATTTGAGGTTTGTAATGAATATGGACGGAAGTCTCTCATGGAAACACAATCAATACTTTAAGGACTAAATTGTGCAAATCAAAAATCTAGGGACCAAATAGAACTGCATCAATACTTTAAGGGTGTGATTTTCAATTCACCCAAAGAATAATTAGCTAAGATGAGATATGCTTATTTAAGCAACATATTTATAAAAAATTATAGAAGTACAGTATGACAGTCTAAACCAAAAATATTAATTAGAAACTATAAAAGAAGACAATAAATATGTGGTCTAGTTCAGCAATCCCAAAATATTGTCACAACACAATAGGAGTTTGGTCACCAAGGTGGATGACCATCCACCTAATTGACCACGTGTGGATGATCTCCACCTACACACTCAACTTTTCATCCCTTGCTCTAAAGCCGGGAACTATCTACATGATAAATAACATAACATTACGTAATTGAGTCCAATCAAAGTCCCCCTTGGTCTGGATTCTTCACAAACTTTCAATTGTATCACCATGTTTTCATTTACAAAAATAAATGAGCCACATCAGTGGTTAGAAATGAATTCCATAACCCTTTTGTTACCTCACTCAAACATAATTTATATATGATACATACAGTATGACATGGGGAAATATCTTTATCATCTACTCCTTTTATATACTTGTAACTATTTTCTTGTGTAGTTTTCTATTTTGCAAAATTTTTGTCTATAAAAGTAATTAATGATCGTTATATTTCTAGGGAGAAACGTTAACAAACCCAGTGCAAGTGGGTGTATCATCCTTTCAACTTATAACCTTCAAATTGGGCAGCACAATCTAATAAGATGGAAGAAATGAATATATACATAGGGAAGAATCATGCAGATGTCCACATACGCACACATAATGATGGTGATGACAGCCATAAAAACAAGACAATAAAATGTTCAATCCATTCCAGATATAAGAAAGAAGAGAAGTCATGGCTAGTCCCAAAAAAAAAGGCATCTTACCAATAAGATGGTTGGGTTCATGAAAGGTTTCTATTAGATATTAACTTAACACAAAAACAAAATTGAACATAAATGCATAAAGTACATGGAGAGTTTAAAAGAAAGCCTAATGAGTGCAACATGCAACATTGTGCTCTCCTCTAGACAATACACATCAACTCGCACTAGGTTTGTCCGCATTCGCCCCCCAAGAAACAACAATCCCCAAGGACAAATCATTGAAACTTAAAAGCATAAAAAAAAAAAAGTACATGGATTTTCTATTTGAGTGAAGAAGAAAATTCGAAGAAAGATACAATCTCTGGTAGGTCCTCTCCCCCTCTTGCATCGGCGGTGACAGAAACTCACTCCCGCCGAGAGCAATGATAGGCCTTATTTGGAACTGTCGTGGGCTGGAAAATCCACTGTCAGGTAGGGCTCTTCACAATTTGGCAGGAAAAAATTCCACAACTTGGTTTTTCTTATGGAAACCAAGTCATTAAGGGTTGAATTTGAAAGATTACAACATAAGGTAGGCTTGAACCAAGGATAGAGTGTGGATGCAAGAGGTAGATCAGGGATTTGGCATATTGTCGAGAAGGGGAGGTGCAAATCAAAGTGAAAAACTACACCAACTTTCACGTAGAAACAATTGTAGATGAAGGAAATGAAAGTCAAAGGAGGTTTGTAGGTTTCTAAAGCCATCTAGAAGTTAGACAGAGGAATAAATCATGGACTTTGTTGCGGATATTGGGCTAACGCTCCTCACTACCTAGATCTGGGAAGCTCGGACACTTAATTTTGAATAGAGTATCAGTGTCGAACACATCTAGGACATGGACACGCTAAAATGAGAGTCCGATTTTTTTATTGTTAAATTTTTTCGATTCATGTTGGGGGACACGTGACCGATACACTTGGGACACGTCGGGGATACATGATCGACACGTTTTGGGTTTTTTTTTCAAATTTTTAAAACTTATCAAATAATTTTATAAATAGGAGATTTTTTTTTTTTGTAATGTTAAAAAGATAAGGGTCAAAAATATAGAATAAAAGAATTATAATCACTACACGAACATAGGACACCGAAATAAATATAATTTTGGACACAATTATGAAATTATATACAAATGGAATACACTTTTTATATGAAAGTAATTTGATGAAAATAGGATTATGAAATTAAGGCGATGTGAAATTAAATGAAAATAAGGATTTCGAAATAAAATATTTTTGAAAATAAAAATTTTAGTAGTCATTAATTGTTGGATCACAAATGTTTATGATGAATGTATATCGGTATATCTGGTATTTTTTTATTCAATGATATCATGAAGTGAATTGTTAAAATTAAGAAAACAATGAATTGGATGATTCAGTGTTATTTAAGGCGTAAAGCGAACCGAAGCGACCAAGGCTCCTAACGCCTAGGCGAGAAGCGAGAAGTGAAGCGACACGCTTTACCGAAGCAAAGCGAACAGTTAAAAAAAATATATATTTTAGTTTAATTACTTCTAAACAATCTAAGTTCTAATTTTATATATACTAAATATTTAAATGCAAGTAAAACCAAAAATATTTAAATTAAAAAAAACACTAATAATATCTCAACTTTTAATAACAGTCATAACCTAAACATTTAAATTCAAACAAATACTAACAATTGTATACATTTTCATATTGACAGGGTAGGACAACAAAAGAAGCAGAATCAGGACAACAGCAGAATTAGCAACAAAAAAAAAAAAAGCAGAATGACAATTAAAAAAAACAAAAGCAACACAGGACAACAAAATCGAAGCAGCAACAGAATCAACAAAAAAAAAATAGAAGCAGAATGAGCTAAAAAAAAAACATAAGCACGATGATCATGACATGAGCAGAATCAATTGTAAACAATTTCATATGTAATTATATACTGAATAAAAAAAAGCAGAACAGAGGCACATTTCACATGTACTAAAATAATTAAACATGGTATAAGCATAGACCACTTTTTGGTACCATTTGTATATATATATAAGAAAAGGGAAAAGTATAATCAAGACATGTCAGAGACACTTCTTTGTAGAAGAATTTATTATTTACCCCCATTTCTGATACTCCTGTTTTATTTTTTTATCATAATTGTCATGCAGTGTAGTCGCCTGACTCCCACATCCCACAAATATTCTAAATGAATTCAGCAACACAAGGAAAAAAAAGGAATGTGTTTTGTTCGAAACATTGTTTATTAGAAAAAAAAAAAAAATAGACCAGCAATAGTCTAAAAAAAAGTCATTAGTGATTAAAAAAAAAGAGACTACTAACCTGTAATCAGGAAAAAAAAAAAAAAAGTGAAGCAGAATCGCTTTTTATAATAAAGCGTTCGCTTTTTCGCTTTTTTCGCTTCTTCGCTTTTTCGCTTTTTCTCGCTTTTTTCTCGCTTCGCTCACATTCGCTTTGCCTGGGGTCCTCCAGGCGAGATAAGCTCGCCTCGCCTCGCTTCTCGCCTAGGCGAGCGCCTAGGCGAGCTTTTCAAAACACTGGGATGATTATCCATAAAATATATTTATTTTATCATATGATCGTATAGATATATATATATATGTATATAAAATATTTAGTGAGTTCCCTAATATGTTTGTGTCCTACTTTTTTTAAAAATAGCGTGTAATCGTACCCGTGTCCCAGCTTATTAGCCTTGGATTTGCGGGGGCAACTTTATTAAAATCATTTCTAATTCAAAGAAATGGGGAGAGGCACCAAAATAGCCTTGTCAAATTAAGAAATAAAGGCAAATCGTTGATGATTGCCATTTTGTGGATTTGGGGTTCTCATGTAATCCTTTTAAATGGTGTAAAAGGAGTATTTATCCCAAATCTATGTCATAGACTTGATAGAAATGGACATTCCCAACTTGGTTATTGAATTTCCCTCGTAGTAAGGTGTATCATTAACTACATATGATCTTCCCACATATGAATACGACCATAGCCAATTAAAACTCAGCATAAGTACAACACTAGATGAAGTTCGAGCGGGAAAAAGACAGAATTAGTTTTATTTTGAACTAATGTGACTCAAGGAACAACCTTGTGAAGAGGTTATTCAAAATTGCTAGAAATCATGAGGAAATGGATCTCTATTCAGGAATTTCGAGGACAAAACCAAATCATGCAGAGTAGGCTTGCTAAAGTGGATGACGGAAAAATTTGGTAATGTACATATGCAGCTTAAGGTGAATAGAGAAACAATGACAGCTCTACAATCAGGTCCTCTAACTAGTGCTGTGAGAATGGAGTTAAGAGAAGTACATGAGCGCAACCATTAACTCTTGGAGGAGGAAGAACCGATGTGGAAGCAAAGGGCAAAAATACACTGGTTGAAAAAGGTTGATTAGAGGCTCGTTTAGTAACGTTTACGGTTTTTTATTTTCTAAAAAACGAAAAACATCTTTTTCTCGTTTTTGAAAATTGCCTCTCGTTTACAAAACGATGACAGAAAAAAAAAATAATGGTTATCAAACGAGTTTTTTTTTCTTGTTTTTCTCTAAATATCAAAATAAAAACGAAAAACGAAAAACATAAACGTTACCAAACGGGACCTAAAAAATTAGTTTTTTTTCATGCACAGGCAAGTCTAAAACAATGGAGGAATAGAACCAAGGGGTTTGATGGATGATCGAGGATTGTGGATCACTGAGAAGTCATGGATTGAGAAGAATGCGGTAAACTATTTCAAAGAGTTGTCCAAAACAAGTTATCCTACGCTGGGAGCTACCGAAACAGTAGTCAATCATGTCACATAGAAGGTTACAAATGATATGAATTTGTCTCTTCTCAAGGAGTTTCAAGCCAGTGAAATAGTTGAAGCAGTAAATCATATTCATCACACAAAAGGTTACAAATGAGATGAATTTGTCTCTTCTCAAGGAGTTTCAAGCCAGTGAAATAGTTGAAGCAGTAAATCATATTCATCCAACAAAGGCACCAATACCTGACGGAATGGGTGCAATTTTCTACCAAAATTTTTGGGATACTGTAGGGGGAGATGTAGTGCAACTTGTCCTAGAATCACTGAAGTCAAGAAACATATGACCAAAGCTTAACTACACCCCATAGTACTCATTCCAAAAGTACAAGAGCCTGTTGATATAACCCAGTTCCAGCCCATTAGTTTATGCAATGTGATATACAAGATTATCTCAAAGACGTTGGCCAATAGACTTAAGAAAATACTATTACAGTTATTTCAGAATATCAAAGCACATCTGTTCTGGGTCACTTAATCATGGACAATGTCTTAATAGCACACGAAATCAATCAGTTGTTGAGGAAGAGGAAAAGGGCATGAAATGATTCATGTCTATTAACATGAGTAAAGCTTATGACCGGGTGAAATAATAGGGGTTCTTAGAAGCTATGATGAGGAAGCTTGGGTTTGACGTTACACGGATACGGTTAGTGATGAATTGTGTACAATCAATGTCGTATTCTCTGGTTTTAAATGGAGAACAGATGGGATTTATCAAGCCAAAGAGGGGGTTGAGACAGGGTGACCCACTATCACCCTATTTGCTCCTAATTTGTGCAGAAAACGTACCAGCAATATTGAAGGAAGCAAAGAATCATGGGGCTCTACAAGGCATGAAAGTAGGACAGGGGCAATCTCCGTCACACCTTTCTTTGCGGATGATAGCCTTTTATTTTCAAGGGCAGCAAGAGAAAATGGGACAACTATAATGGAATGTCTTAAAGATTATGAATTCGCCTCAGGCCAAAAAATAAATCTCGCTAAATTGGCAATGGTCTTTAGCCCAGCCTGAGAATACCGCAATTATTAAAGAGGTTTTACAAATCCCTGTGGTGGTGGTGGTGGTGGTGGTCAGGAGAAACTATTATCTAAACCTGGAAAAGAAATTTTGATCAAGATGGTGGCACAAGCGGTACCAACATATGCAATGACTTGCTTCAAGCTGCAACATCTTTTGCAGGGACATAAACTGCATGTTGACCAGATTTTGGTGGGTAGACATAGAACCTTGGGTATCATGGGAAAAAAAAATTCTCCAAAAACTGGGGTTTAGGTTTTTGAGACAAAGAAACATTCAACCTAGCCCCTGTCTAAGCAAACTTGGCCACTTTCCTGAAATACAAACTCTTTACTATTCAAACTATTATAAGCATAAAATCATACGATTCGCGATTCGTACGATTCAATTTGATACAGGTACAAAACGATTCGTATCTTATATGAGAATTGTTTTAGAGTTGAATTGCACTTGAATCGTACGATTCGATTCGTATCGCACGAATCGCACAATTCAATCATTTTTTTTTAAAACCCAATTTTTAGCAAGATAACGTCATTTTGTCAGTTAAGCAGTAAAACGATGCCGTTTTATTTGCAGAAGAACCCACACTCTAATAAAAACTTAATTTCTTTGCTCTTTCTCTCTTTGACATCGTCTAAAGCTCGTATTGCGTTGTCTAAACCTAAAGGTCACAACTAACACTCACGCATCATCAGTTGATTTTTTATCTCAATTCTTTTATGAGTAGTTTGTTAGGTTCCAATTTTTTGTTTCAAAATGTTGGACAGTATATTTTCTCCCTATCAATTTTTTTTTTTTTTTCATTCATGTTTCTAGCATAATCTATCCTGGGTGTCATTATTTTGGTTCTTAAATAGTCATAGTTCTTTAATGAATTTTTTTTTTCAAATTGTCGAATTTGAAAATAGTTAAGCAAAAGATGAAAATAAAGCAAAAGGCTAGCGTTTTTTCATTTAGACGACATGATTATGTAAATTGATTATTTTTAAAATGAAATAATATTCAATATTTTATCTATTTTAAATATGTAATATTGTTTTTTATTTTTGTTCAAATTTTATGTCGAATCTTATGATTCACGATTCTCAAATTTAGAATTCTGATTCATGATACAAATCGTGATTTGACAACTATGATTACAAGCTAAATAGCGGCAAGGAAGGTTTTGCACGCAGATACACAACGGCGGGTTGGTGACGGAACCAATATTAAGATGACTGATAAATGCATACCGAGGCCTATAACTCTTAAATTTATCAGTGCGCCCACTGGATTGGAGGATGATTTGTTGGTAAGTTCACTGGTAGAGAAGGATACAAGGGGTTGGAAACAAGATCTGATTAGAGATCATTTTCTGACATTCGAGACCAAGACAATCTTGAGCATTCCTATTAGTGGGCATTTTCTGCTGATAAAATGGTATGGCATTTCACTAAATCGGGCCTTCTCAAAGTTAAACATGCCTACCATCTGATTCTTGAACATGCACTATATGAGAAAACCCAAGATAATGGGATAGGAACCAGCAACCATAACAGAAGTACAGGAGCAGACATTTGGACTCAGAACATTCCAAACAAGAGAAAACACTTTGCATGGAGGACTTACCATGACATTCTCCCAACTCAGAAAAATCTACAGCAGAAACATATACCTGTGGAGAGTCTGTGTTTTCTATGTGGAGCGTCACCAGAGTTTATTAATCATTTATTTCGACACTTCTCTTTTCCAGACAGGTGTGGTGAGAAGCAGGATTGGAGATCTCTTGTCTTTCTGCTGCAAATTTCCAGGTGTGGCTCGATGCATAACTAACCAAGAAAGATGACATGCAGACCAATATGTTCCCATGAATTCTATGGACCATATGATACAACTGAAACAAGGAAAGGTTACAAGAAGAGACGAAATGCCCAAGGCAGTTGGTTGAATCCTCTAACTCTTATTATTTTTGAATTTTTTAGTGCACAAAGTTCAAGCATTCTTGAGACCTCATTACATCAAAAACATGGAAAGCCCAGGTGGTCTCCTCCACTCATGGGCTTTGTTAAAGTTAATTTTGATGGGGCAACATTTAATTTGATTTGGGGATCAGGAGTGGGAGTGGTAATAAGAGACAGCAACGGAAGTTTTTGGCAAGTTTAAGCCAGTGTTTTGAGTGTTCATTTAAACCAGGGCATGTTGAAGCTCACAACTGTTATGGCGATGAAATTTGCAACAACAGCTGGTTACAAGTGCATTGCATCATGCTTGAAGGGGATTCAAAGAATGTGAGTGAAGCCATTAGGAAAGATAAAGAATTAGAAAACTTATCAGAGATTGGCAATTATGTTGATGAAGTTTGTGCTCCTTCAAATGTGATCAATTCTTTCTAGATTCGCCAGATTCAAAGAGAGGGTAATTCATGTGCAAATTATTTGGCAAAATTTGTTGTAAACTGTGAGGGACAGATTTGGATGGAAGTGGCACCTGAGTTCATACAACCTCTCCTCCAAAATGATGTACTCTTTCTGTGACATAATGAAATTCTATATATCATTTCCTAATCAAAAAAAAAATATTCAAATCATTTCTGAATATTACTAAATTTGCATAAACTAACTCAACTAATTGTAGAAGAAGACCTTCCCCAGAAAAAAATTCTTAAAACTGGTCACTTTTGTAAGACAAATTGTAAAAAACTTTCTCCCCACATTTCCCAATAATTCCCAAATGTTTCCCAAACCACAAATTAATGCAACATCTATCAATTTCGAACAGAAAAATTGGTACTATGCCCCATGTTCACAGTAGTGAAGCTAATCAAATTCAAAGCAATCACTCCAACATGCGAAATATAATACCAGAAAACATAATAGCTCTCTGATTATGTTCAAAAATAGTCTGCCATTACCAGAGTAATAACTTCAACTGTCTACAAAATTATTTGAGATCGCATCAAAATTGAAACTTGATAAAAAAAAAAAATTTGAACAAACATAACCTAACACGTAGACAAAATTGCTTTGTTTGAGCAACGAAAAGGAATCACAAGAAACATGTATACGTATATATGCACACACAAATACATGTACATGTAGTTATACCTATTTTTGCTGCTGGAGGAGAAGAGCCTTAGAAGCTCAGTAACTCCACTAACTGCGATTTTCAAGAGCTGTGGCGTGGGCTTTTCTTTCTTCACGTTATTGGGTGCCCTGGAGTAGCAGCGGAAGCCATTAATTTTCTGCAAAAGCATCAGTTAGTGATAACCGACGAAATCAAATGTTTGAGGAAAGAGAATGAAAAATTCATCGATTCGAATTTCAAAAAAGTGAACAAACCCGGGCTTGCAGGATTGGTGAAGGTCCTGCATAGCAGCAGATTCCCGCCATATCATACAATGTCCGTCTATCTTCCTTTCTGTTTATCCGTGATTATGTCCCTGGTACCCCATCCCACTCCATTTCAGGAGCTGGGGGTGTCAATCTGAGATGTGTCCGGTCATCGCGGGATTGCGTCGATTATTAGTCAATTTTAATATAATGTATTTAATTAATTTTATCGTATCAAATTGGTCGATTTATTTTCGTATTTATATTGTTCCATATAATTGAACAATTCCCATATTATTTTTATAAATAAAAAATTAATTTAATAAATATAATGATAATAAAAATATATTTTTTATATAATAATTATGTCAATATTTTATAAACAGTAACAAATAATTAATATTTTATTTCTATAATATTAATTAATTTCATATTGTTCATGTTACCATACAAATACAAAAATAAAAAAAGTGTCAATTGTTAAATAAACGGGTTGATTATGTTAATTTCGTGTTTGGCAGATTTAATCCAAACATGACTCGTTTATAATTCGCGTTCCCGTGTCGGATTATTTTTGAGTTCGTGTCGAGTTATAATCGAGTACAAGTCGAGTTATAATCGAGTTTGAATCGCATTATCGTATTTAGTCAAAAATCATCACCCTTAATTATTTGTGTTAATCGAAATGTGATTTTTCTATCCAAATTTATTGTTAATTTTAATGAAAATTCTCACATGCACGTGACACTTAAGTTATACCCTAATATCTAATTCACGTGATGTGCACGTAAAGATATTCGTCAAAGTTAATTATAAATTTAGACAGAAGGGTCACATTGTGTGACACCCCAAAATCCGGGGGTCCGTTGATTACCCATCAACCCGCGGAATACCCGTAAATACCGAGTGACTCGATATCACACCGTTATGTCCCATTTACCGAGGTCCATAACTTAACAAAATTTGGGCAGAGTCTCCTTTGTACAGGGAACTCTACCCAATACCCAACCTGTGCAACATAACTCACATGACCCATCTGAGGCCCAATATAAACAATGACCGCACCGGGTCCATTTATAAGTAAACATTGACCACACCGGGTCCAATTATCCATATTTATAGCAAAACATGCAAGGTTACTGTAACATTAGTGCATATATGTAATAGTTATCATTTAAATCCACCAAGGTCTAATAAGCCTCAATATACCTCAATTAGTGTCCATTTGTATCCTTGGAACTAAAGAAATCCAAGTCCATTGGTGTTCTTTAAATCAAAGAAATCCAAGCCTGGAAGTTTAGTGCATAGTTTGAAAAATTTCGGTTTTAGAATCACCGTTCGAACAGCACTATTCACATTCGAACGTCCCTTGGTTTTGAAAAATAGGTAGCTCCCAGTACATTTGGTTCTCTGCTGGTTTTGCTGTTCAAAACTCGCACCATTCGAACGTCACTTTACGTTCGAACAGAAAATGCAGTTTCTGTTCTGCTGCAACTTCCAGTGCGGTTTTGACCTGTTTAGAAGTGGAATTGAGAAAATTTCATAAAAACACTTTTGTAGCCCTAGGTGTCTACTACCTACTGTAAAAATTTCAGATCATTTGGATGTCACAATAAAAAGTTATGGTTCAAACACTAAGCAGTGTCTGAAATTTCTGTGTAAACTGTGTATGATTTCAACCCCAAATCAATCCATTCCAAAACCAATCCAAACCAATCCAAGGTTATCCAAAACTTATACAACATCTATTTGATACCAAATATAGTCAATACAAGTTCTAATACAACTATTTCCATACTTTTACATGCCAAAATGGAAATTAGCCAAAAGTTTTACAAAAACTAAATTCAAAAGCCACAACCCGGCTTTTCTTCAACCAAGAGCCCCCGAATGAGAGCCATCCACCGGAACGTGTCCCATACCTGAAATTGTTTCCCGTATAGGGTGAGCACAACGCCCAATAGAGATAAACCTATAGAGGTTACTCTTCCCCTAGATGCACATGCTCATGTAATCATCACACAAACATACAACCAAGCATTTCTCACACTTATGCATCCTATGATGGAATGCAACAATGCTATGCCATGGAATGAAGTGACACTCACCCATGCAACTTTATTCCGAGCTCTCTCCGGCTCCCCAACACATGCAAGTGTCAATTTAGTCGAAATCACCATTTATGTTACACACAATGGCGTTAATCACTCTAGGGTCTTGTATAGGGGTGGATGTTCATGGACTTACACCAAGGGCCTCCAACCCACACGAAATTTACGGACTTCGACCGAGGGTTCCGAATACACCCACACACTTTATGGGCCGAGCCAAGGGAGTGCGTAGCCCAATCACCGGGTCTTGCACCCGAGAGGTCGTCATGCCTTTTCTTGCTACCCCAACCCAATTCATCATGCAACCAAGCGGCTTAGCTAAGTCCTCGACCCAACTCTCCCAAGCCTTCCGTCAATCACCAAGTGTGGTATTGACGTCAAACATGCACTCACTCATGTAATGAGACACTTCCGTGCAAATGCAATGTGATGTTCCATTGCACACAAAATAATGCTCAATATGCTTATGACAAACATATAAACATTTTCATACATCAATGCAATTGTATCATAAGTATATAACTACCATATCTCATTATGCTCAATATATCATTTCATGCATATGTCAATAACACTCTTCATCCAAAAACCATATCCTAAGCATATGATTTCACAATCACCCAAGCATGTTATAACATAGCATCATGCAAGTAACACACTCAATTTCACTAGGGCATTTTATCAAACATCTTATAGTCATTCAAGTCATGTATTCACATAACACATTCCAAGGCATAGTTTATAAAACACATAGCATCCCTTAAGTTTTCACCAAGTTACAAAATAATCACATGGAACCTCCATATACCAAATTCAAGCTAGAAGCTAGCCTAAGCTATTCCTATGCTAATTTTTTTCACTTTCATACCCATAGACATATATGTATAACAATACATATGCATATACATAATTTTCACCCTTAGTCTAGCAACACCTAAGGTAAGAATAATCCAAAGTAGGAATAACCCCTACCTCTTAGGAGTGTAGAAAACCCCTAAAACACCAAAACCAACCCAAAAGCTTTGATCTCCAAAAATTCTTCCTTTGATTATTCGGTGAAATCACTTCCTTTTGGTACGTAGACGTAGCCCTTGACGAGGAGAACGATCTTTGTTCTTGGTCCAAGCGGATTTGAGCACTAGAATTATGTAGATCATAGAGAGAAGTTAAAGCTTTCCCTCTTCTTTCCCTCTTCTTTCCCACAATTGGCCACATGTCCATTTTTAATTCCGGGTCCGTTTTTGTCCCGAACAATTAAATCTCGCCCCGGTTTAAATCTAAAATATTTTTATTTCAATTTATCTTATTTTATTGCCCAAAATTTAAAATTTTATAAAAAAATTCGTGTACAGGGTCACCCGAAGCCCGATCGCTCCGTAAAACGTGAAAAATTTGACTATCTCAGAATTCGACGAAAATTGATGTGGTAACTCGATTTCGCGAGACGAATCCAACGGTGAGGTCCGTTTTGTCATCCGAGTTACAAAAAATTTCAGATTTACAACCCGAATCATGGTGACAATTTACCATTTTACCCTTTATTCATAAAAGTTTAAATCTACCCGGATTTTACACATTGAGTCAAATTACATAATTTTGAGTCTAAATTAATACAAAATATAGTTGAAGAACTTGACACAAATAATATACTTCATGTGACTCCAATTTTTCAAATTAGTATCACATTGTAATGAACTTTGGAGTGCTTTAACAGCAAACTAACAAGGATTAATCACTAAGTATCCCAAAACAAAAAGGATTAATCACTCTTTTAACTTTAATGTTATTTTCTCCAAATTCACTTTACATTATACCGTTTTCTAATAGCTAACATAGCTAGGAATCAAATTCAAGTTTCACAAAAACATCTTTTTTTTGAGAAAGCACATGATACATATATTATTAAACAGACATCATTACCTCGTAACAGATGAAAAATTACAAAAACGAAGGATTATCCCCCTCCTTCTATAAGAGTTGGAAAAGTACAATTTATAACAAACCTAATTAAACAGCTAGTAACCTCATTTCCTTGTCCGCGAGTCTAAAAGAGTGAAAAGGAATCAAACTTGGCCACATAATCTTGAATTTGTTCCACAAAATTACCCATTTCTGATAAATCTCCATGCTTATTCTGAATGGCTTCAAGAACAACTTTGGAATCACCTTCAAGCACTATTTTCTCATAACCAAGATCACGCCTCATCTGCACAGCAGTGATAGTTGCTAGATCTTCCATGTTATTAGCACTTAATTGCCCAAAAAATTTCTGACTGAATCTTGCTAGAAATTGTCCACTATTGTTACTTATAACAACACTTACACCTGAACACCCACAGGAAGCAAAAACAGCACCATTGAAATTAACTTTACAACATCCTACCGGTGGTGCCTTCCAAGAAGAATTCTGCAATTGATCAGATTGAACATGCGCACTTGAACCATAAAATCATATGGAATTAAACTGACAGAAATATTCTTTTGAGAATTCAACTTCTTCCAAAGGAGATCTTGAACACTCCTCTACTCTGAGTTCGTTTCTATTAAACCAAATGGACCAAGCCATAACAACAACCAAGGCAGCTTGTTCGTGCTATAAATTTTCTGAAATGAAAATAAGCCATTCTTGGATATTTGACACCCTTGTTTTGTGGAAATTGTATTCCATCCAAATCCCAAACAGCAATTGCAAAAGGACATTTTAAAAGCAGTGAAAGAATGATTCATAAGAGTCTCTAGATGTGTGTAAAACGATATGCTACCGCGACAAAATGTAAGACTATCGAGTTAGAATTCATAGGCTCTTGCTGCGAAATCAAAATGACAAGTTCAACAACACAAATAATAGCATTAAACAACACGAATAGAGTCAAATAAGAATAATCAATCATAAAAATGACTGAAGTTTGTCATTTTCTAAATCTTAGACTTTTTACTTGGTTTTACAAG